TCTTCAGTACTACTTTCAACTATTTCTACTCTAAAATAAAGTCTCTACATCAAATAATAATATAAAGTCTCTACATCAAATAATAATAAAAGTATCACAAAAATTTACTTCAAAAGAAGAAAAAACAAAGGAAGTATTTGAGCTCTTTCCAAAGATAATATTAGAGAGCAAAACCACATACGCGCGACGATTACGAGCTAACGCTCGACGAACTCGCTCAGCAAGTGCAGTCCTTTGGACAAGGCGAATGGCTCTTGCTGATGGTTCACTTCTGCGACTTGAGGATGGTCGCATCATACGTGATTCTTCACATCGAGGACAAAACCACTGCTCGGAAGTTGGAACTGCATCCAAAGGAGGAGTAAGGCAGAAGGTGTGGAATCTGTGGAGAAAATGAATATAGAAACGTTACCTTTTCAATTTTTCTTTCAAATTTTTAGAAAAAATATTTCATATACAAGATCTAACACTCTGAGCTATGAGTAATCAGCGGATGAGGGAAAAAGTGAAGCGTGAAGATAAGACACGGGAAACATTTTTAACTTAAATATTCTGCATTTCTTCGGGGATTGGTTGTGAAAAATACTTATCCAATATCTTGTACAGGAATCCTAGGTTGTACGCTTGTACTGAAGAAACAACTGGGAATATTCTGTACTACTCCCTATTAGTCAACGTGGTAAAGTGATGAAAAATCACAAACCCCCTATCACACTGATCGCAAATTAGAAGAAGCTCCTCATGCGTTCCACCAGAACAAATTTCACATACGGTGAAGTCTAGCGGGTCTGTCTCGTCGAATGGCTAAAAGGTTCATTGAAAGAAACAGCAGAAGTTGAAGATAAGTGGTACTAAAAATTGAGGCTCTCACCTCGGCTTCCGCGGGTTGCTCCATTTTTTGAACTTTGCGTAGTGTTGGTTTGCCCTCCAGTATCTTGTAGGTGTAGATGGCTCCAAAAGTTGCACGACATGATGGACAACTCAGTCGTAACTGAAATGGAAATGGAATACTAAGAAAAACAACTGAGCTAAACTTGACCAAATTCGAATCTACTAAAAACAGTAGGCGCTACTATAAATCACTCATAACAGTGAAAGTAGAATATTTTGCCATGTCGCATTGCTCACCATATACCAATTGAATCTCTCTTGTGAGACTCCCTACTTTCATTAACCAGCCTCCTTTGCTGACTTATTCCTATAAACCCGTTAGAAATGAGATGAGTCGCTTCGCACAGAGAAAAAGGATCGGATACTGGGAATAGAGTCCTTCTTCTTTTCTAACATGGCACCAGATGGTAGCGGTTGCACTATTTTCAACGTGTGGATAGTCTAATTTACCGAGCCGCGCATCAACACTGATACAATCACAGGAGGATGTAGGATGGGAAAGGTTGCAGCGCACTTTATATTATATTTGAGTTTGATCGCTGCAACGAGATATCCTTGAACGCCTTCAAAACACTTGACTCGCCAACATCGAATAAATCTTTTCACTCTGAGTTCGAAATAAATAATGGAGACTTCCCATGTATCTCAGACAGCTATGAAACCGATAATGCCTCAGGTGTTCCTTGCGCACCTATCAGCACACCTCATAACTTGAACCGTCAAGCATTTTTGANACGCATTCAGTGAAAAAAAATCCCCGAGATAACGTCATTATTTCTTTGACCGAGGACCTCTACAGTATTGCAAACGACCAAAAAACAAACCTTCGCCCACTCAGTCAAACAATCCAAATCGAACCGATGCTGGCAATTCTCTGGCCTTGAGAACTCCTCTTCGATGGAGCATAGGCAAATGGGGCAGACATCATCAGCCCCTGGTGACGACATCGCTTTTGTCTTACCTTGAAATATCATTAGGAAACTCACAATACAGCTCCAATGTAGAAAAAAACGGAAACTCACATATAATAGACGAAAGGGTGAGTGTGGATTATACCAGATCTTGTTGTGCTTAAACTGACAAAATAAAACGTTTCAAGGGTGAGATCCTCAAGAACTTGTCTCGATGAGGTATACCACTAGTAACAACCAATTCGAACAGAATTTTCTGCTCCTCTAGGTACCTTCGGCGCGCAAACGATCTGCTGCCGAGAGAGTTAATTTGTACGGCGAGTCCGATTTCTTGACGGGTTAAATACTGTAAAGGAAAATAACCTGATTTTGTTCCAAGATGCATCACTTTTCCTTCCCTACCGCACAACACAAACAAGTAAGCGGGGTCACACAACCGCAGCATGAAAGTCAAAAAATAAGTAATAATTAATATTTATCGGAACTCGCGGTAACAAAGCATTGCTAACAATTATCCAAACTGCGATGACTTTATACGAGAGAAACAGAAGTATGCAGACAACCTTTCATGAATTTCTCATCAAAATCAAACAAGACGAAACTGCTGAGAGCTAGCAACGTGATGAAACATTTTGACGAATCTATCAGTTAGACTGACACTATACTAAGATTGACCACTCGAACGATGGTTCCATAAACTGAAACAACATGAAGATGGACAACAGCAACGATTCCGCAGAAAACGGCAACGCTAGAAAACTGCTGACAAAAAAATGTACCCGTAATAGTAATGAAAATACTCTTATGAGAAAACTCGAGCTTCCTTCCGAGTAACTGTTCGAAGCTCACAAGTGGAGTAACGTTGAAAACCCATAACGAACAAAACAATGACGAATTTTAAGCGAGTGCGAACTGAAACCGAGACACAAAGGGTTAGTAAGCATGCAGGGTTTCCACGAACAATGTCGAATCTGGTAAACGGGATTACCAGAGATCCAGATCTATCGCGATGTTAACGCCATGCACAAGTTATGGAAGAGAAATGTCTTCCGAAAGCGGGTGAGGTAAGTCGACGAGAAACAGTGACCACGACGGCGGGAAAAGCGTGAACGACATGCGTGAAAGCATAGGACCAAGCACAAGCACGACCAAATATCTTCGCATATGCTAGAAGCAGATCGGTGCACTCCGATATGCGATGGAAAGTCGGAAGAAAATCGTTTCGGAACAAAGTTCAACCATAGACTGCACAACTACTTCACGAGAATTTTCAACGACCTTGGTTGTTCCTATGGCGAACGACATCAGAGCTTTGACTCTCAACCGTTGCTCGAATCACTCATGTGTTTGGGAAAGTCTTGTCGATAGTTGGCGAGAGCACGCGTGAAAAATGAATTCGAATTTGAGAGAAACGCTGAAAATTTCTCTCGTTGG